TGTCTTTGGTCATTTTCTCTCTCTTTATTTCTCAAAAGAAACTTTTGTCAGATTAAAAAAAAAAAAGAGCAACTTTGTTATGGTTGATTAGATATGTTGACTAGAAATGTTGTCTTGGCGTCGTCTACACGTTTTCACTTTTTAAACAACGCATTTTCTTTCGGGGAAAACGAAAACAAAAACAAAAAAAAAAAATCGCACTTTCACTTTATTTTTTTACATAAATAAAAATATTCTTAAGTTAAATCATAAATTTCTCTTAACTTGGTGAAAAAACCAAGCACCATCCCTCTATTCATGGAATATCCGAACAGTAAAAAAATAAGTAAGTATTAAATATAAAAATATTATATTTATAAATATTAAATTCAATTTAGAAACGTTGTCTTTGGTCATTTTCTCTCTCTTTCTTTCTCAAAAGAAACTTTGTCAGATTAAAAAAAAAAAAGTAACTTTGTTATGGTTGACTAGATATGTTGACTAGAAATGATGTCTTGGCGTCGTCTACACGTTTTTAAACAACGCACTTTCCATCGGGCAAAAAAAAAAAAACAACGTGCTTTCACCTTTTTTTTTTACATAAATAAAAATATTTTAAAGTTAAATCATAAATTTCTTTGCTTCTCCTTGCTTTTACCAACCTCTAACCCATGACCTGTGGCTTAACCATTTCGCAAAATACGCCAAGCCAGCAGGCCAATGGAGAGGTTGGTAAATCATAAATTTCTCTTTACTTCGAGAAAGTACCAAGCATCATTCCTCTATTCATGGAATATTCAAACCGTAAAAAATAAATAAGTAATAAATATAAAAATATTATATTTATAAGTATTAAAATTAAATAATAAATATAAAATTTTAAAATTATTTATTTAATTTATTTAACGATTTTATTTAATTGACTTTTACATATACTTAAATAATTAAAATTATATATATTTATTGTACTTAATATTTATATAACAATAATAAATTTTAAAAATAAAAAAAAATCATACATAAAATTTATAAATAATAAAACATAAACTAAATATATATCGCTTAGGCAGTCAATAACTTTTTTCCTTGTTCTTTTTGGGAACAATGAGTATATACAAATTCAAAATTTAATTTTTTTAACTTTTCAAATAGTAATTTTCAAGCCACAATTTTTATTTTTTTATATAAATAATTTTTTAATTTCAAACTCCAAATATAATATGATAAGAATTGTAAATTAAAAGTATGCTAAATCATAAATTTCTCTTCTCTTAGAGAAAAAACCAAGCATCATCCTCTATTCATGGAATATCCAAACGGTAGAAAAATAGGTAAATAATGAATATAAAAATATTATATTTATAAGTATTAAATTAAATAATAAATATAAGAGTTTAAAATTATTTATTTGATTTATTTAATTATTTTATTTAACTGGCCTATTAATTATATTTATATAATTAAAATTTTATATATATTTATTATACTTAATATCTATATAATAACAAAATATAAAAGTAAAAATAAAAGAAGTCATACATACAACTTATAAATAATAAATTTTAAACTAAATATATATTACCTAGACAATCAATAACTTTTTTCCTTCCTTGCACTATTTGGCAACGATGAGTACATACAACTTCAAATTTTGATTATTTTTAACTTTCTTTTCATTTTTCAATTGGTGATTTTTAAGTCACAATCTTTATCTATCATATAGATGATTTTTTTAGTTTTAAACTCTAAATTTAATATGATAAGAATTATAAATTAAAATATGAACATCATGATATTAAAATATATATAATATCATTAGTTATTATCTTTTTCTAACAAATCGAAAACAAAGTATTAGGGGGAATATAAACTCAAAAAGTTGGACATATTCTTTAAAAGATTTTCATTCTGTTATTTAATTTATTTTTATACTTTATTTTTTGGATACATATTTTTATTTTTTATTATTAATTATTTAACTGAATTTAATTTTTTTTAATTGTACGTAGATTTTAATTATAAATATGAAATCAATTTTTAGTTTTCTATTGCTATTTTATGTTATATTTAAATTTGGATTATAATAAATAATATTTTATTAAATTTTAATTTTAAAAAAATTAAAGTAAAATATTATTTAACAAATAATATTGCCTTTGGTCATTAATGATTGACTAGAAATGTTGCCTTTGTTCCTTTTCTGTCTCTTTCTTTCTCTCCTTCTCAAAAGCAACTTTATTAATGATTGACTAGAAATGTTGCCTTTGGTCATTTCCACTCTCATTCTTTCTCAAAAAGAAACTTTGTCAGACAAAAAAGAAAAAAAAAAAGTAACTTTTTTGTGATTGACTAGATATGT